AATACGTACAGTGATTTTATATCCTGGTTATTATAAATAGTGCTGCAATGAATATGGGAGTACATACATCTTTCTGAGTTAGTGTTTTCTTTTTTTTCAGATAAATACTCAGAAATGGAATTGCTGAACCATATGGTAACATTATTTTTATTTTTGAGCAATCTCCATAATGTTTTTCATGGTGGTGACATCAATTTCAGTCTCATCATCAGGACATGAGAGTTCCCTTTCATACCAAGATTATAATAATTTCTTCTATGTTATCTTCTTAAAAAGCTTTCTTTTAAATATTCACTTTAAAATTTAAGGCTATGATTCATCTCAAATTTAGTTTTGCATATAGTGTGAGTTGAGGGTCAACATTCATTTTTTTCCTTCAAAATATTGTCCTATACAAAAGCAGAAAGGCAGAGAGAACAATAGAGTCTAGTTTAAGTTTTGCAGGATTATAGTGATGGTTCTCAGAGGAATGAAAATAATTATTTTTTCAAGTTTAAGTTAAAATGTCCCTTTCTATGACTGGTGAATTTACTTTAAATTATGGGAAGAAAAAGACTAAGGAAAGAAAGAAGACTGAGAGGTGGGTGGCCTGTGGACAGGACAGTAATTACCCAGAAGAATTTCATAGACAGGGAGGGTGAAGCATCCACACATAAATCCATTTTGCACAGAGGCAAGGACTTCTTCTCCCAGTATCTCAGAGTCCCATCTGTCCCCACAGACCATGTAGCCACCACCCAATCAAGAACTGCATTATGTCTGCACCTTGCAGTCAATTGTCCCAGGTTTCCCTTATTTGTAGCCAGCCCATGAGCCATAGACTACTTGGCAGGAATGATGATCAATGTGTCCCACGGCTTTATTCACTTCCATCAGCTTTGCCTTAAATTCACAACACTCCAACCCTATCTCAAAACCAAAGCAAATCCTTGAGCAATAGCATGGAGCTTGGGATGTCTAGAAGGGTGAGGTATGTGAGGGACAGCAAGTCTACCCTGAACAGAACCCGCCTGATATCTCCTCATTGTAAAATGCATCTCGTTGTACAATTTCAAGTATCTCTAAACTCAGTTACCATGCTTTCAAATAAAGAATCCATGTAAGAATCACATTCATCATTATTATTATAACTAGTGGCACTAGAGGGTGCACGACCTGCACCCTCTCCAATTTGGGACCCCCTCGGGGGATAACAGGCAGTCAGACATCCCTCTCACAATCCAGAACCGCTGACTCCTAAACGCTCACCTGCCTGCCTGATTGCCCCTAACTGCTTCTGCCTGCCAGCCTGATCATCCCTAACTGCTCCCATGCTGGCTTGATTGCCCCTAACCATCTCTGCCTCAGACTTCTCTGTCTCCCCTGACTTCTGCATCTCCAAAAGGCCTGGAGCGGCCAGAGCCGGGATGCTTGTATGGTAGTCCTGGCTGTGATGCAAGAATCCCGGCTCCGGCCTCTGCCATCTTTGTTGGGTTAATTTGCATATCACTCCTGATTGGCTGGTGGGCGTGGCTTGTGGGCACCAAGAAGGGTGCTTAATTTTCATGTTTCTCTTTTATTATAAAGGATTCAGCAGGAATTGAATAACTGTGTAGGGAAAACATTGTCTTTGCAGTTTATTTCATCTTTGGAAACTTTTTGGTTCAGCAAAATTGCAAACATCATGATTCTAGTTTTAGTTTAGTGGCAACTGTGTGACATTCAGAAGTTGCTCAATCAAGGTGTTCCCTGTGGAGGGGAAGGAGCTGGTTAAGAAGTTATGTTCCAAAGAAACCAAGATGGCGGCATAGGTAAACACCGGAAATTGCTGCCTCCCACAACAAATTCAAAAATACAACTAAAAGACAAAACGGACATCATCCAGAACCACAGGAAGGCTGGGTGAGTGGAAGTTCTACAACTAGAAGGAAAGAGAAAAGCACACTGAGACTCAGAGGACGAGGGGAAATGCAGAGGTATGGAGGTGCATGCTGCAAGGACTGGCAACTGAGGACGCGGCTGTCTTTTTGAATCAGGAGGGAGTCACAAGCCCCCGACTGCTCTGAACTCCAGTTCTGGGTGAGTCTCTGGGGACCTAGAATCATAGGGGGAAAAACTAAACTGTCTGGCAGTGGGCAGAACTCAGAACTCAAGGGTGGCTTTCTCTCAAAGGTGCTTGCAGCAATTACTGGGACAGAGATGCAGGGCCCCTAAGGGCAGGGTTGAGGATCAGCCCTAGCTGCTTGTTCCACCCTGTTGATTCCCTGAGACCCCACCCCACCCAAGCTGCGGCAGAGGCTTTTGCATATGAATGCCCTGGCCCTTTGCAATCTGAAAATTACCTAACAAACTGCAGCTGGGCCAGACAGACCCAGAACTTCCAAGAGAAGGCCCAAAGTCCCACAGCAGCTTGCATTGCTTCACAGCTGGGCCTCATTTGGGCACCTCCAAACCCCAAACAAGGAAGGAGAATCTGCAGATCTCCTCGTAGCTCCTGCTGGGTAGCCTCAGGAAGAGGCTAAATTAGCACCTCCTTAGATCCAAGAGCCAGTGTACCCAGTGGTCAGAGTGGGACCATCCAATTACAACTCCTCAGATCCATAAGGGACACACTCAGGGGGCAGACTCAGTGAGCACCAAAGCCCCACTGAAGCAAGTCTTGCCTCATAAGGGTGTCTTCAGCACAGATGTTCTCCCACCATAGACACAGCTGATTCTCACAGCCAATTGGCCTGAAGGGCAATTCTTTCTAGTGATACCTACAACAATCAAGGCTTAACTACAACAAGACTCTGCACAAAGCCCACAAAGGGGTGCATCAAGAGTGTCCACCTCAGGTAATTGGGGAGGCTGAGACCCTGGGCTCTATTGGACACCTACCACACAAAGCCACTCTACCAACACAGGGAAGCATAAAAAATGTGGAGACAAAGAAACAGGTCACAAATAACAAAAATGGAGGAAAGCAAATGACTGGAAATAGAGTTCAAAACCACACTTTTAAGGTTTTTCAAGAACTTCCTAGAAACCGCTGATAAATTTATTAAGACCCTCAAAAAGACTGGTGAGACTACCGATAAATATAGTGAGTGAGACCCTCAAGAAATCTAGTGAGACCCTGAAGGTTATGAGAATGGACCAACTAGAAATTAAGCATACACTGACTGAAATAAAGGATATTATGCAGAGTTCCAACAGCAGACTAAAGGATCGCAAGAATCAAGTCAAAGATTTGAAATACGAAGAAGCAAAAAGCACCCAACTGGAAAAGCAAAATGAAAAAAGAATCCAAAAATATGAAGATAGTGTAAGGAGCCTCTGGGACAGCTTCAAGCGTACCAATATCCGAATTATGGGGGTGCCAGAAGAAGAGAGAGAGCAAGATATTGAAAACCTATTTGAAGAAATAATGACAGAAAACTTCCCCTACCTGGTGAAAGAAATAGACTACAGTTCCAAGAAGCGCAGAGAACCCCAAACAAATGGAATCCAAAGGGGACCACACCAAGACACATCATAATTAAAATGCCAAGAGAAAAAGACAAAGAGAGAATCCTAAAAGCAGCAAGAGAAAGAAAGTCACTTACCTACAAGGAGTACCCATACGACTGTCAGCTGATTTCTCAACAGAAACTTTGCAGGCCAGAAGGGAGTGGCAAGAAATATTCAAAGTGATGAATGCCAAGAACCTACAACCAAGATTACTTTATCCAGCAAAGCTATCATTAAGAATTGAAGGTCAGAGAAAGAGCTTCACAGATAAGGAAAAGCTAAAGGAGTTCATCACCACCAAACCAGTATTATATGAAATGCTGAAAGGTATCCTTTAAGAAGAGGAAGAAGAAGAAAAAGGTAAAGATACAAATTATGAACAACAAATACACATCTATCAACAAGTGAATCTAAAAATCAAGTGAATAAATAATCTGATGAACAGAATGAACTGATGATTATAATAGAATCAGGGCATAGAAAGGGAATGGACTGACTATTCTTGGGGGAGAAAGGGGTGTGGGGGATGCAGGAAGAGACTGGACAACAATCGTGCACCTATGGATGAGGACAGTGGGGGGGGGGAGGGTGGAGGGGGGGGTGGGAACCGGGTGGAAGGGAGCTATGGGGGGGAAAAAAGAGGAACAACTGTAATAATCTGAACAATAAAGATATAATTTAAACAAGATAGAAAAAGGAAGTTATGTTCCTGAGATTTTCAGAGTATGGTACATTTTTCATCTTTTATTTTCTGGTGTAAAATCTTTATCTCATTTTAAGTTCTCTTGATCTCTTTCTGGTATTTCTCCTTGATATTTCTTACATATATAATTCTGAGAGGAAAAAAAATGAAGACTGAAATTACATAATGTAAAACATTTCCCACATTTGCCAAATTATTTCCCTTTTCAATACCTATGTTAACCCTTAATGAGTTTTTGAAACTTATTTGTGAATAAATTTCAAAAATTTACTTCCTCTTCACCCACATGCACCACAGGCTTCCTGGAAACTATATCATTTTTTCCTTCAACTCTGATCTAGGCAGTGTGGCCTCTCAAATATCTGTCTACGAATGTGAGGAGATGTATGAATTCCATCAGGAAGGTTACTACAAAATTCAGATTCATGGCAGATATGTGATCAGTGAACTTAGCACAAATTTCTGAAACTTGGAGGCAAGGTAACAGTAATAGGTCGAGGAGATCAGGGCCTGTGCCAGTCCATACTGTATTTCTGGGTGGACATCTGGACTCAACAATGACTCATAGTTGAGCCTGGAGAACAGGATGATACAAACAGCCTGAGTATGTAATTACATGATTAATAGTGTATATGGTCATGAAATGTCTACTACTGTTTGGATCAGAAAAATCCTTAATCTGACATAATGCTCTAACTTCTAAGAATGTTTTTGATTTAGTGCAGTGGATGATAAAATGGTGATGACACAGCTGAATGCCTGAAATTTAATATTTAGAATCCTCTCTTGCTCTGCCATGGTCTGGGCCTTCTCCATCTCCATCTTCTCAATCAACTGTTTCATCTGTATCAGATAACTCTTCTGTCTCTTCCATGATCTGCTGAGTTCTCTTTTCCATTTCATCGGACATTTTTCTTGTAACTTCTGAGGAAGCAAAATAAGCAGAGAAACATGAGGATTAAATTGTTATAGCCTTATTTTCCCTTTCAACTCATCTTTTTTGTTTTATTCTTATTTTGTAGAGGAAACTTCTTGTAATAATTTTTACACCAAGTAAGCAAAAGATGACTGTAAGTAACTGTTAGAGCTAGTAACAAGAGCACCACGCAGCTCTGATGGTCTGACTGGTTCTGAGTCTGGGCAGAGCTTGGGAGAGGGTCTTGGGAGATAGAGAAGTTGTGGGTACATAAGAATACATCTTTATTGCAGAATCCAGTGATCATATAACCACCAGACAAGAATAGTCCTCACAGCAAAGAACATACTGGCAGGCAGCCAGACACTGGCTGGTGAACATATATATTTCCCAGAAAGCAGCATCAGTCTCTGTACCCACACTTATTACCTGAGCAGTCACATGCTGCCTCCTAGACTCACTACCTCACATCATAGCAGTATCTGAGCCCTCTGGCTCAGCAGCTTTTCCTGTCTCTCCTGTTCAACTTCTCTCTCTAGCAGACTTCTTCACACACTCCATCCTCGCTGCTCTTTTTCCATACTGCAGCAGACTTCTTCTCACTCCTGCCTCAGCCTACTACAGCTAACTAGCTAGCTGGTCAGTAACCTACTTTTACACTATTTAGACAAAGAAGGCTTTGTGCCAACAGTGACATCAATCATATTTGTTACAGAAGGGCACAGTGTGCCTTGTCTCCTTACACCCACTCATGGTATGTTGTCCTGCTTAGGATTCCCAGGCTCAGAGTCCTTGAACATTCCATTTAGGCACATGCCCAGATGGCCTTAGGTCATTCGGGTATATTGATAGCAAGGCCTTTGTGCTCCTACCAATGGCCTTGATTATCCAGGACCTGGCATGGTTCCCACAATAACAGTTAAAAAAAAACAACCTTAGAACTATGAACTATACTTGTTATTCTTTGATTTCAGGTGCACTGATATGGTTAACGTTAACAATTCCAGGGCTTCCCATTACCCGGAGTGTTTCTGTTGTTTTGTTGGTTTTTTTTGGAAAAGCTTACTTGTGGTATAGTAGTAATACAATATGCTGTCACATTATCTACCTATGATACAAGTATACACCTGTTATATCACCAACACAATTAAGTTAGGAGCACAAATGATGGGCATGCTGAAATATCTTCATCTTCACATGCCCTTTGGAAACTCCTCCTTCCTGAACATAAACTCCATCCCATCACTAGGCAAAACCACTGCCCAGTTTTCTGACACTATAGAATAGCTTGCATTTTCTGTCATTTTACATAAAAGGATCATACAGTATGTAGACATTTTTGTTTTCCTTCTTTCACTCAATATATTTTTTCTCAGATTCATAACATTCTCATATGGATTGATAGTGTATTCCTTTTTATTGTTCAGTAGTATTCTTTTCTATGGATATGTTAAAATTTATTCATCATTCACATGTGGATGTGCAGCATAGTAATCTCTATTTTGTAAAACTGCTGTTTGAAATTCTCTGCTATTTTTGCTAGTCCCTTGTTCCATAAGTCAACTCTGTTATTTTTAAAAAATAACTTTGCTTTTTGGCTTAAATAATAGAAAAGATAAACTGAACTGTCTGATCTTGCAAGCTAGACATCTAACATAAGGGGCTAATAAGCTGATACTGATAATGTTCCTATATTCTCATGCCAAGTGCTTGTTCATCCAAGGTTACAGGTGTCTATATAGATATGATATGTACTCAAGGTTACAAGTTGTCTGTATAAATATGACAGGTGTTTCTTAGATATGATATGTACTCAAAGTTACAAATTATCTGTAAAAATAACATACACAAAGACCTGAAAAGGTATTTAAAAAGAATCCTTTCTCCTTTGGGTGTTCAGAGGTATTCTGCTCTGAACCTGCACACAATAAAAATGACTCCTAACTAATTGGCTCATTAAGGCATCTTGTCTTGCTTGCTGATGGACAATACAACAGATGGACATTGTTTTCAGTTAATGGCTATTGGCACCAAAGATATTGTATGCACACAAACTTACATTTTCCTTGGGGATAGATGTAGAAGAAAAATTATTACTCTGCATGATGGGTATTTGTTTAACTTTATAAAAAACTGACAAACTTTTTCCCAGTGATTTATCATTTTACATTCCCACCAGCAATTCACTAGTATAAGGGTTCCAGTTGCTCCACATCCCCATCAACACTTGAGATGTTCAGTCCTTTTAATTTTAGCCATTCTACTAGATGCATAGTGATATCTCATTGTGGCTTGAATTTCCACTTTTCTAATAAGTAATGATGTTGTTAATAACTAATGATGTATACCGTGTGTATTGCCACCTAAATATATTTTTTTGATGAAGTGTCTGTTTAAATTATATTCTTCCTTCTAATTGGGATGTTTGCTTTTCCAAGTAGTAAAATATTTTTTGAGTTTAAGAGTTCTTGAAATATTCTGGCTACACGTCCTAAATCCAATGTGTGATTTTCAAATAGTTACTTCCAATCTATGACTTGTCTTTTCATTCTACTAAAAGAATGAAAATTCTGATTTTTCAAAGAGCAGAGTTCTTAATTTTGAAGTACAATTTATTATTTTGATATCTGGAATGTATTTAGCTGTTCTCACCTTCCACCTCTTTTTCCATGTTTTTCTCTTCCTTTCTGTATTTCTTCTTTATCTCTTCTTCCTAGAGATGCAGAGGAAGTTATAATTAAGAAATAAAGACTATGGGTTTAAGCAAAAGACATCAATACATGCATTAATTCAATTTAATTTATGACTATATAACAGCCATTATAGAATTAAAATAGCTTTTTGTCTAATATTTCCAAACCTCTAGACCTGGTAGCAGGAGTATCCTTGGTTTATATCTTCCTAAGGTCCCTTAGCAGGATCTCACTGGTAATGGGAGGACTTGGGGCTGGCTCAGGTCTGACACGTAGGCCAGGAATGTGTTTCAGTCCTAAGGATGTTCCTGGGAATGATAGTGGTTCAGTTCTAACTATTTCTTGATTCCACTGAAGTAGGATGACCACAGCCATTACACATAATGGAAACTGCTGACTCTCTAGACAACATGGGCTATCAAACTCCAGGTAGGCACAAAAACTGCATATACTCTAGATGTGCAGAATGAAGCAGGCAGATGTGGAAACCAATGTAGCACATTTTAGAGCTTTCATTATTTCATATTTCATATTACATACAATCTTATATTTTGAGATCAGATGGCTCTATGGTCAGGTCTCTTTGATGGTTGCACCAAAGATCCGAAGAACTGAAGTCCTGCTCACCTGGGCACAATAGGACCCTGTAATCACCACAAACAGTAGATCATGAGTCTGGGTCTCGCAATTTGAACCCCATAATTCTAATACCATAGAAGGTGCTGAGTCTTAAAGACATCGGGCTTTGGAATGACATTTCACTGAATCATATGCCTTTGGATTTTGCTTAGGGTTTATGACTTTAGTTTTTGGTTTTCCTTTCATGAGGAACTAGGTGACTGTCCTTCAAGCTTTGCCCACATCCCACCAAGACATACTTGATTCTGCTTTGGATGTTATTCCTGCTCTTTCAGTCGTTTTATACTCTGTCTCATCTCCTTGTACATCTGGGGATGTGTTTCCTCGTTGCTTGTTAATTTAATCTCCATTTCTAACCTTCCTGGCTCCAATTCTTCTGTACTGGATTTTGCAGCTGTTTCACAGTGGTTTTGCAGAGAGAAGAAAATAATAGTTAGACCTAGCTGTACCCTTCAAAAGTAAGAGACTAAAATGGTTTTATACTTGTAGAGAGGAATCTCTGAATATTTTTTACTAACAATAACAGCAAAGCATGTTTCAGAATATGATGGAAAGGCACTGGTTGCATGAAGCAGAAATTACTTGATTCTGCTTTGTGCCGGGGTCCAACCCCAGCGGGTCCAGGGGTCCCCAAAGGCATGGACAGAGCCGGCGAAGAATGAAGGACATGGAGACAGTCTTCAGTTGATCAGCAGCCTAGCCAGGATCTCCAGCCAGGATCTCCAGCCAAATTCTGGTCTGGATCTCCAGAGAGGTTCTGGTTAGGATATCCAGCCAGGTTCTGTGTCCATGTTCTCTTGCTAGGTTCTCCAGCCAGGTTCTCCAGGTTCTCCAGCCGGGTTCAGTCACCAGGTTCTAGTCAGGTTCTCTTGCCCATTTCTGTAGTCAGGTTCAGTCCAGGATCTTTTGCCATGTTCTCTCGCTAGGTTCTGTCTCTAGGTTCTGAGGCCAGTTTCTGTCCAGGATCTTTTGCCATGTTCTCTCCAGCGAAGTTCTTCTGTCTCTAGAGAACGTTCTGTGTAGGTTCTGTGCCTAGGTTCTGTCTCTCTTGGTTCCGTATTCTAAGTTCTGTGTTCTAAGTTCTGTGTTCTAAGTTCTGTGTTCTAAGTTCTGTGTTCTAAGTTCTGTGTTCTAAGTTCTGTGTCTTGCTGTCTTGTTGCATCTGTATTTATACCAGTTGATTCAATCCTATCAATCTCTATTACAAAGGTTAGGGCGTTTCTTATCTTCATTCCAGGGAGTAAAGATTATGTAGCTTAAGCACGATTGTCAGTAGTTAAAGTGATTAATTACCCACCTGGCACTTAGTTAAGAGGTTTTATTCCCTCCCTAACTTCAGGGGAAAATCCCTACCTGGGGAAACAACCTTTCTCAGAGAGGAGACCTTGGTTAAAACACATAGTGCCAAGAAGGTGAGCAAACATATTAAGAACAATATGCCATATATGCCAGGTCCCTTGAAACAGCAAGGATGGACCGGCTCCCGGCAGCTTTGGATGTTCTTCCTGCTCTTTCAGTTGTTTTCTACTCTGTCTCATCTCCTGGTACATCTGGGGATGTGTTTCCTTGTCGCTTGTTAATTCATCCTCCATTTCTAACCATTCTTGTTCTATTAGCTGCTGCTTTTCTGTTTCCAATTCCGCTGTCTTGGCGTTTGCAGCTGTTTCACAGTGGTTTTGCAGAAAGGATAAAATAATAATTATACCTAGCTGTACCCTTCAAAGGTAAGAGACTAAAATGGTTTTCTAAAGGCAGAGAGGAATCTCTGAATATTCTTACTAACAATACCAGCAAAACATGTTTCAGAATATGATTGAAAGGCATTGGTTACTTGAAGCAGCAATTAAAAATATTTTTTGATTTAGCCAAATTGTTCTAATCATTTTGTGGAAACACCTTGTTTCAAGAAGGACTTGTTCTCACACACTGAGGGGCACTGAAGGACCCTCCCAAGCCCTCCATGATCAGAGCCCTGCCCTGTACCTGCTATAGCCTTCTCCACCAAAATGAGGGCTTCCTGTTCCAGTGAGTCTTGGAAGTTCTGGAGGAACTCCATTGGCTGAGGAAACAAAGAGCAAAGACTTTTCTAGCTGGGGAAGTCATGATATCTAATAAAGAGGTAATATGCAAATTGACCATCACTCCAACACACAAGATGGCTTCCTTGTGGACACAAGATGGCCACCACAAGATGGCCAGCACGGGAGGGCAGTTGTGGGCAATCAGGCCACAGGGGAGGGCAGTTGGAAGGGACAAGGCTTGAAAGGGAGGGCAGTTGGGGGTGACTGGGCCAGCAGAAGAGGGCTGTTGGGGGGACCCAGGCCTGCAGGGGAGGGAAGTTGGGGGGGTGGGGACCAGGCCTGCAAGGGGGGGGGAGCTGGGAATGAACAGGCCTGCAGGGGAGGGCAGTTGGGGGGAACTAGGCCTGCAGAGGAGGGAAGTTAGGGGTGACCAGGCCTGCAGGGGAGCAGTTAGGCATTGATCAGGCTGGCAGGGGAGTGGTTAGGGGGTAATCAGGCTGGCAGGCAGAAGTGGTTAAGGGCAATCAGTCAGTCTGGCAGGCGAGTGGTTGGGAGCCACCAGTCCTGGATTGTGAGAGGGATGTCTGACTGCTCATTTAGGCCACAGGGATCGGGCCCACAGGAATTGGGCCTAAATGGGCAGTGGGACATCTCTTGAGGGGTCCCAGATTGCAGAGGGCGCAGGCTGGGCTGAGGGACACACACACCCCTGTACCTGTTTCTGCTTTGGATGTTCTTTCTGCTCTTTCAGTCGTTTTCTTTTCTGTCTCATCTCCTGGTACATCTGGGCAAGTGTTTCCTTAGAGCTGTTCTCTAGAGCCTCTACTTGTTGCTCCTTTTCTTTCGGTGTCTGTCTTAGTAGCTCTTGTACTCTTTTCAATTCCTCTGTCTTGGCTTTTTCCACAGTGGTTTTACAGAGAGAATAAAATAATAGTTATACCAGCAAAACATGTTTCAGAATATGATTGAAAGGCATTGGTTACCTGAAGCAGCAATTAAAACTATTTTTTTGATTTAGCCAAATTGTTCTAAACATTTTGTGGGAACACCTTATTTCAAGAAAGACTTGTTCTCACACACTGAGGGGCACTGCAGGACCCTCCTCTGCCCTCCATGACCAGGACCCTCCCTGCCATGTACCTGCTAGAACCTTCTCCATAGCAGTGAGGGCCTTGTCAGACTGCAGGATGCATTCCTTTATTGCAGCCTGTGACTTCTTGAGGTTCTGGAGGACCTCCATTGCCTGAGGAAACAAGGAACAAAGATTCTTCTAGCTGGGGAAGTCATCCGATCTTATAAAGAGGTAATATACAAATTGCCAATCAGTCTAATACACTAGATGGCCACCCCCATATGGTCAAAGATGGCCAGCAGGGGAGGGCAGTTGTGGGTGATTAGGCAAGCTGAGGAGGGCAGTTGGGAGGGACCAGGCCTGCATGGGAGGGCAGTTAGGGGTCACCAGGCTGGCAGAGGAGGGCAGTTGGGAATGACCAAGCCTGTAGGAAAGGGCAGTTGGAGGGGACCAGGCCTGCAGGGGAGGGTAGTTAGGGGAAATCAGGCCAGCAGGGGAGCAGTTAGGCATTGAACAGGCTGGCAGGGTATTGGTTAGGGGGTGATAAGGCTGGCAAGCAGAAGCGCTTAGGGACAATCAGGCAGGCAGGCATGAGAGCAGTTGGGAGCCAGCAATCCTGGATTGTCAGAGGCATGTCCGAATGCTCGTTTACGGGCAGTCGGAAATCCCTCGAGGAGTACCAGATTGGAGAGGGTGCAGGCTTGGCTGAGAGACACACAACCCCTGTGCACGAATTTCATGCACCGGGCTTCTCATTGTTCCATGAAACAACAAATTCAACTCTGTAAATGCTTCATCCTTCTTAGCATCCAACAGTGGTTCTCTTCCTTCCAGGGCCACAATTAAAAATTGAACAGGTTTAGTTGGGGGGAAAAAACCTTATTTGGAAACCATAGCTTCCTCTTAATGATGCCACTTATGGCAGTTCTATAAACACTCCTCCTCAATTGTATGCAATCTCTGCACATTCTTTTTCTGCTGACTGGATGCTCATCTACCCTTACTTTTACTCAGATACTACTTATCAATACTTCAACTTATAGCTTCTACCTCCTCTTCCAAGAAGCTGTGCTACACTTCCTTCTGAGATTTGACTGGATGGCAGGTACACAGACCTTTCCACTAGCTATACCACTTGCTGGCTGTATGTTCTTGGGTAACTTATGAGGTTCTCAGTGCATCTCATTTCTCAACTGTATTGTGGGGATGACATTAGTTCCTACAGTCATATTATTCTAAAGATTAAAGTGATAATCAATTTAAATGATCAACTTAAAAATATACTTGGTTTAGGAAGTGTGTGCTCAATATAGATCAACCATCACCATCATTCCATCATTATTATCATCACTAGTAGTTTTTACTTACATGATAATCATTATCCTACCAATCCACTTGACTATTTATATTTCCTTTTTAGGTAAGATCATAAGCTTGTTGAGAACATTGTTTCATTAATTATGTATCCCTTATACAGAGTGATAAACTATTTCATTGTTTCCTAAATGAAAGACATGTTCTCTTTCATCTACATTCCTGATAATAAATCCTATATTTAGGGGGGAAAATTCTGGCTTATTTAAGAGTATTTAACTAATTGTAGATGTAAAAGGTAAAAATGTACAGATATCGCTATGCTTTGCTATGTCTTCACAAATGGTCCTATTGTCTTAGATTTTCAAAAGAACCCACAAGAACTCTCTGACCCTATTGGCTAGTCTGCCGCCTCATTTTATTCCTCACCTTCACTCCTTTCCTGGGCACCAATTCATAGGACGATTCAACCTTGTTCATTTCTTCTAAGTAGAGGATGTATCCTCCAGGTACAAAGAATGTTCCTCTAAAAATTCCTTCCATCAGTGGCTCTGAAAGCTGTGTAAACTGAGCGTGGCAATATTTGAGAAATTCCTCTTCATTCTTCAGCAAGAAATTTTCCTTCTTTTTCTTTATGATGCCCTGCCACAGAAATGTGGAGAAATACAAAGGAAAGAGGCTGTTAGAAGGAAGAGCCAAGTGTGATCCTCTTGGAAGAAGCAGTTTGATGGCATTGAGTTGGACTGGAGCATGGAACCATAGATCATGCTCATATGCTCATTTTAGTCACAGCGTAGACCAATTAGTTGTGTGACCTGTGGAAAGTTCCTCAGTTCTCTTGGGTTCAGGCTCAACATTTGTGAAATGATGGTGTTGGTTGACATGAACACCAGGGTTTCTTTATTTTTTCAATTGAGATATTACATTATATTGGCTTCAGGTGTCCAATGCAATGGTTTGATATTTGTATACATTGCAAAATGGTCACCACAATGTCTAATTATTGTAGTCACCTTACATAGACATAAACATTGTTTTTTCTTTGATGGGAACCTTTAAATTCAACTCTGTTAGCAAATATCAAATATGCAATCTAGTAATATCAAGGTTCTTTTATCAGGCATAAGATAAACAGTGGTCCATCCTTTGGCCATGAGCAATGGAAAATTCAATATGACTGGCAGTAGACTTCCCTCTGCAAACTTAGATTGCTATGGATAAAAATATATACACAGTAAAGCAACTGTCCACTAATGAGGCAGGTGTTCACTGAACAGAGTTTTGAAGTCTTCATGAATTATTTTAATGGGGGATTGATTGTACAGAAATAAAGGGAAATAAATTTTTTGCTGTACTTGAAAAATTATAATTTTACTAGAGGCCCAGTGCACAAAAATTTGTGCACTCGGAGGGGAGGGGAGTCCCTCAGCCTGGCCTGTGCCCTCTCGCAGTTGGCGACCCCTCGGGGGATGACCACCTGCTGGCTTTGGCCTGCTCCCCAGGGGATTGGGCCTAAGATGGCAATCAGACATCCCTCTGGCAGCCCAGCAGCCCTCAGGGGATGTCCTCTTGCCAGCAGGGAGCAGACCTAAGCTGCAGTCAGACATCTTTAGTGCTGCTGAGGAGGCAGGAGAGGCTCCCACCACCACCGCTGTACTGGCAGCCATCAGACTGGCTTGTGGCTGAGCAGAGCTCCCCCATGTGGGAGTGCACTGACCACCAGAGGGCAGCTCCTGCATTGAGCATCACCCTCTGGTGGTCAGTGTGTGTCATAGTGACCAGTCATTCCCAGTCAGTCTGCTGTTAGGGTCAGTTTGCATATTACCTTTTTACTTTATAGGATAGAGGCCTGGTGGATGGGTGGGGGCTGGCTGGGTTGCCCTGAAGGGTGTCCCAGATCAGGGTGGGGGTCCCACTTGGGTGCCTGGTCAGCCTGGATGAGGTGCTGATGGCTGTTTTCAGGCTGCCCAAACCCCCTTTAGGGTGGGGGTCCCCACTGGGGTGCCTGGCCAGTCTGGGTGAGGGGCTGAGGGCTGTTTTCAGGCTGGCCAGCGACTGAAGCTCCCAGCCTCTCCTTTTTTTCTTTTTTTTTTCATTCTGGGATTTATTTACCTTCTATAATTGAAACTTTGTTTCCATCACTGGAGCTGAGAGCTGACTCCAGCTCTGAGGCCACGGTCTTCTGAAAGCAGGTATCTGGGGTTTGTTTAGCTTCTATAATTGAAACTTTGTTGCCGTCACTGGAGCTAAGAGCCGGCTCCATCTCTGTGGCCACAGCGGGCTCAAAGCAGGTATCTGGGGTTTGTTTAGCTTCTATAATTGAAACTTTGCTGCTTTCGGAGCTCAGAGCAGGGCCATGGCAGGCGGGGAACCTTGGCTTCCTCCATCACTGGAGCAAGCAAGCCTCCTGCCCGCTTCAGCTGCATGGCTGCTGGCCACCATCTTGGTTGGCAGTTAATTTGCATATCGCCCTGATTAGCCAATGGGAGGCGTAGCAAAGGTACGATTAATTGCCATGTTTGTCTATTATTAGATAGGATTGATTTTCTTCTGTATTGAAGTGAGAGTTTTATAACTCATAGGATGGTCAATGACAAATTCAAAACAACATGAAGGTGTTTTTATTAGGCACAATTACGTTGTCCTCAAGAGTTCTCTCTTCTGGCATCCACATGACAGTCTCTAGGCCTATGCATATGCTAAATACTGATCATCTGATTAGATTTTTTTATGGCACTGGCTAACTTTAAGAAATGGAGAATACTCAAGTGGGCATATCTAAACACATGAGCCTTTAAAAGCAGTTTTCTCTAGTTGGTAGCAGAGAGGTAGTCAAAGGTATTAGAAACAAGACAAGGATACAATTCAGCATTGCTGCCTTGAAGATGGCAAGGAGGTCCCATGACCCTCCTAATGATATTATATTAGTTTCAGGTGTACAACATCTGAATCTTGTTTTCAGCTCTTGGTAAACAGAGCAGAGCACCCACACATCTTGTGCTAGGAACTCACCTGAAGAATTTTGATGTAAAAACTTGAGTGTTTCTGTAACTGTTAATAAGCACATGTTAGTTAGCTTTGCCATAATGAAAATAAAGAACCAATCATTCAGAAAAAGGATGAATAATAGTAATCTATAGAGCCCATGCACTCACATGAATCCAAACTTTTTAAAATGAGAAACATATGGACTATGGGTAAAAAAGGGGATGACTTAGGCATCAATCTAGAACAGGGATTAGGAAGGATATATGCTAAGACCTGTTACCTCAAGCTTCTTTTGGAACACCTGGTTGTCATTCTTGAAGGAGTGCTCCATAAAGATTGCAATGGCTTCCTTTTCACAGGCTGTTTGTAGATCCAGCAGTTCCTGCAGCGTGTCTGTGGGGAAGCTCACTCTTTGGGCCATCTGCTCGCTGTAGTGGTCGGCTGCCTTCTGCATGGCTGCTGAGTTCTCACGCTGAGTCAGAGTTATCACTGCATTTTCCAAACAAGGCACTGCTCCACTGTTTATGGCATCCACATAGGCTTTTGCCAAGGTCCCCAGCCCTGAATGACACAGGGTATTTAAGTAATGACAGGAAGTTCTCACTCACTGTTTCACAAGCTTTAGAGATTAATATTTGAAAAATAATGATTTTATTGAAATGAAGATTTCTGTTTTCTCTTTTTTCCTCTCCTTCCCATATTCCTCCTTTATATACTACTAGAGGCCTGGTGCATGAAATTTGTGCATGGAGGGGGGTTTCCCTCAGCCCATCCTGCTCCCACTTCAATCGGGGACCCCTCAGGGGATGTCTGACTGGCAGTTGGACACCCCTCTCACAATCTGGGACTGCTGGCTCCTAACCACTCACCTGCCTGCCTGCCTGATTGCCCCTAACCCCTCTGCCTGTCTGCCTGTTCTCCCCTAACCTCTCTGCCTGCCTGCCTGATTGCCCCTAACTGCCTCTGCCTGCCTGCCTGATCACCCCTAACCTCTCTGTCTACCTTCCTGTTTCCCCCTAACTGCCTCTGCCTGCCTGATCACCCCTAACTGCCTTTCCTTGCTGGTCTGATCTCGCCCCCAACTGCCCTCCCCTGCTATCTTGATCTCGCCCCCAACTGCCCACCCCGGACAGCCTGGTTGCCCCCAACTTCCCTCCCATGCCAGTCTGATCTCTTGCCCAGACTGCTCTTGCCCCTAACTTCTCTCCCCTGCTGGCCCAGTCTCCCCTAATGGCATCTGCCTGCCTGATCACCCTTAACTAACCTCCCCTACCAGCCTGATCTGCCCCCAACTGCCCTCCTCTGCTGGGCAATTTGGTTCTGATTGGTCAGTTTCTATTCCAGTCAGCATCAAAAGTTCCACAGGTTAGGCAGCCATTGGCTCCTTAAATTCACCCAGATTTGTTTCTGATTGGTCAGTTTCTATGCCAGTCAGCGTATCTGGGCCTATAAACAGGGCCTTATCAGAAAGGCGGATCTGATCAGCAGCCCTAGTGGAGGCCTGGTGAGAAATGGAGGTGCAGCTGTTGGCCAGACCGGGATAGAAAAAGAGGCAAGTTCTGATCAACCACTGCCACAGAGGCTACAGATAAGACCCTGCCCCTCTCTCTGCAGCCATCTTTCTGGTCCTGATCCATAGACCCCTAGGCAGTCTGTACTGGGTCGGCATGGGCAATGGCCCAAGTCAATGCTGGGTCACCATAGCAACCAAGCACTGACTTTTGGTCAAGTCCTTCCTAATGGTTGTTTGGATACTGGCTCTTTATTATATAGATACTAGAGGCCCAGTGCACAAAAATTTGTGCACTCGGGGGGGGAGGGGGGTCCCTCAGCCCAGCCTGTGCCCTCTCGCAGTCTGGGACCCCTTGGGAGATAACGACCTGCTGGCTTAGGCCTGCTCCCCGGTGGCAGAGGGCAGGCCCAATCCCTAGGTGCAGCCCCTGGTTGGGCTCAGAGCAGGGCCGATTGGGGGGTTGGGGCGCTGCCCCCTGTCACACTCAAGGCACGGTCGATGGGGAGGTTGCAGCGCCACCCCCTGTCATGCACAGAACAGGGCCAATGAGGCTGTTGGGGCACTGCCTCCTGTCACTCACAGAGCAGGGCCCATCAGGGGGGTTGGGGCTCTGTACCTGGTCACGCACAGAGCAGGGCCAATCAGGGGGTTGGGGCGCTGCCCCCGTCATACACAGAGCAGGGCCCATCAGGGGGTTGGGGCACCGCCCTCTATCACCCACAGAGCAGGGCCGATCAGGGGGTTGGTGCGCCGCCACTCTCACACTCAGGGCAGGGCCGATGGGGAGGTTATGGCTCTACCCCGTCACACACAGAGCAGGGCCCGTGGAGGGGGGGGAGAAGGTTGGGGAGCTCCCCCCTATCAGGAACAGAGCAGGGCTGATCAGGGGGTTGGGGCGCCTTCCCCTGTCATGAACAGAGCAGGGCAGATAGGGAGGTTCTGACCCCGCCCCCTGTCACACACAGAGCTGCAGGGCGATCAGGGGGTTTGGGCGCTGCCCCCTGTCACGCTGATCCCGGTGCCGGGAGGACTCATGGCTCTGCTGATCCCGGTGCTGGGAGGCATATTACTCTTTTGCTATATAGGGTAGAGGCCTGGTGCATGGGTGGGGCCGGCTGGTTTGCCCTGAAGGGTGTCCTGGATCAGGGTAGGGGTCCCCACTGGGGTGCCTGGCCAGTCTGGGTGAGGGGCTGAGGGCTGTTTTCGGACTGGCGGGTGACTGAAGCTCCCAACCGCTCCTTTTTTTCTTTTTTTTTTTTTTTCTGGGCCAGCTTTAGCTTTGAGGCTTGGCTCCAGCTCTTAGGCCTCCGTGGCTGAAAGTAGGTTTCTGGCCTTTGCTACAATGTTGCGAATCTGCTGGCTGAAGTCCGGTGGTATTTGTTACAGTTTCTTAAACTGCCGGATCAGAGGCCTGCAGTGGCAGGCAGGGAACGTTGGAGTCCTCTGTCACTGAAGCAAGCAAGCCTCATGTTAGTTTCAAGCTGCCTGGCTGCCTGCCGCCATCTTGGCTGACAATTAATTTGCATATCTCGCTGATTAGGCAATGAAAAGGGTAGCGGTCGTATGCCAATTACCATGTTTCTCTTTTATTAGTGTAGACTAGAGGCCTGGTGCATGAGATTCGTGCACTGCGGGGGAGGGGGTGGTCCCTCAGCCTGGCATTTGCCCTCTTGCAGTCCAGGACCCTCGCTCCTTTCCGCCTGCCTGCTTGCTGCTCTTTACTGCTTGGTTCCTTGCTCTTTAGCACTGCTGCACAGGCGGGAGAGGCTCCTGCATTGAGCCTCTGCTCCCTGGTGATCAGTGCATGTCATAGTGACCAGTCGTTTTGAAGTTTGGTTGATTTGCATGTTAGTCTTTTATTATATAGGATAAATCCACTTCCTTGTAATAACATCATTGTATCTCCTATATACACTCTCTTTTATGGTTCTCAAATTCATCTCATGATAATATAAACTTAATAATTTCAACTAATATATTCAAGAGTTTCCTGGAACCATTTCCCAATAGAAATAAATTTTAAAATAGTTTATTTCACAGATAGGTAAAGTAGATAATTTTGTGAGCAAAATTTCCAATGAAATTTTGGGCCCATATAAAAAAAATCATCAAAAATTTTAGGATGGTGAGTAAAATATTAAATCAAGCATGGGTACATCTCAGCCCAGGACATTGTACGTATGCTCTAGTGGTATAGATTTATGAATCTAGTCCTGTACATAAGACTATAGTTATATTTTCTTCTCAGGCTCTAATGAACTTTAAGTGGCTTGTGTTCTGCTGCATATTTTTTCTATATGGTGTAAATTCAAAAAATTATCTTCTGTATCCTCTTAAAGATACACTCATCTCATTCATCTTGTCATCATCATGCAGATTCGTCTCCTTAACAGCAGCTTATGCTTATGTCATTAGTGTATTAGTTTCATGAAATACATTAGGCTTCAATAATTCCTCAGATAGGGAAGCTTTAATGAAAAACATGCATGTCTATGTGTGGCCTGAATCTTTGCTTTCCCATATCTCATATTGCAGGAAACAGAACTACTGACAAACCCTGAGCACAGTCACAGTTTCACCACATGAAGAAAAATGCAGAAGGACATGCTGTAACAAAGGAGACTCACGATTGCCAGTGACAATGATTCCCTCTCTGAGGGTCTTGGTTTTTGCAGCTGTGAAGATGTAGTTACAGAAATTTTTGGTTTGAACCTGGAAACTGCACTCCAGTTGGTTTTCTGACACCTCTTCCATATGTTGTAATAGGTTTATGTTATTTGTAGGGCGTTCAAAAATAAAGCACTTTCTCTTGGGAAAGAACTTCCTGATATACTCTCTAGGCATGTTGGATTGCTGGATTTGGGGATGCTCGCCTGTAAGAAAAAATAAAAATAAAAAAGAGCAGTGGCTGGTGAGACAGTCTTTAGGAAAGGACAGACATTTCTAGGGGTCTTGGCATAAGTGTTTCTCTGGTGCTTTCATATATTCTTCTATTAAATCATGAAAATGAACACAATGCTAATCTCCCCAAGACAAATTTATTTTTATTTATTTTTATTTTTAGGGCAAAGTCAGGAATAAAAGAAATACTTCTGAGGAAGAAGAGGAGGCATAGAGGCATTCATTCCATCTGAAGAAACTTATAATTGTTTTTGTTAGACATTCCATGGTGTCCAAAGTTTTGACTATTAGTTAGGTATTTTTGAATGTACATTAATCCCCAAAATTTTCAGAAATACCTTTTTTAAGTGAACCTATTTTTTAAAATATATATTTTATTGATTTTTTTACAGAAAAGAAGGGAGAAGGAGAGGGATACAGAGTTAGAAACATCGATTAGAGAGAAACATCGATTTGGCTGCCTCCTGCACACTCCCTACTGGGGATGTGCCCATAACCAAGGTACATTCCTTTGACCAGAATCGCACCTGGAATCCTTCAGTCATCAGGCCGACGCTCTATCTTGGCTGAGCCAAACCAGTCAGGGCTGTCAGAAATACTTTTAATATCATAGTCCTCATGTCAGAAATAGAATGTGGGTTCTAAAATCAGAGTCAAATATTTCCTGGTAGATATATGGAAATTTATAATATTATCATGACAGACAATACTTAGAACAGTAGAGAAAAACTTCTAAAAATAAAAGTAACAAATAATAACTATATAAATATATGCTTAATGTAATGCCACTTAGAGACCTCACCTGTTCTCTATATCAGATTACTTTGGATGTGACAATGTCATACTGAGTAATTCTGAGTATATATCAGTTGTTCAATAAATAATCTACACTAATAAAAGAGAAATATGGTAATTGGAGTATGACCGCTACCCTTTTCATTGGCTAATCAGGGCGATATGCAAATTAACTGCTAACTAAGATGGCAGTTAACTGCCAACAAAGATGGCGGTTAATTTGCATATGTAGGCACAATGCAGGGAGGTGAAAGGGAAAGCAGGAAGAAGCCCCCTGCCACTGACAGTGATCGGAAACCCAGGGGGGGAGCTAAGAGCCGGGGGGCAGGGCAAAGGCAGCCCCCAGGGCTGCCTTTGCCCTGCCCCCTGGCCATGATCGGAGAATCGGGCACCTTTGCCACCCTGGCCAGTGATAGCAGGAAGTAGGGGTGGAGCCAGCGATGGGAGCTGGGCATGGTCGAAGCTGGCAGTCCCAGGAGCTAGGGGTCCCTTGCCTGGGCCTAAAGCAGAGCCTGCAATCCCAGGGCTGCTGCCGCTGCGGGTCTCCGCTGCCCGGGCCAGACGCCTCTGCCAGAGGTGTTAGGCCTGGGCAGGCGTGGAGCCTGCAACCGCGGGGAGCTGGGGGTCCCCTGCCCAGGCCTAATGCCTTGGCCAGAGGCATTAGTCCTGGGCAGGTGCAGAGCCTGCAACCGCGGGGAGCTGAGGGTCCCGTGCCCAGGGCTAATGCCTCTGCCAGAGGCGTTAGGTCTGGGAAGGGGCAGAGCGGGAGATTGCAGGGAGCTGGGGGTCCCCTGCCCAGGCCTAATGACTTGGCCAGAGGCCTTAGGCCTGTGCAGGGGCAGAGCAGGAGATCGCAGGGAGCTGGGGGTCCCCTGCCCAGGCCTGACACCTCTGCCAGAGGCCTTAGGCCTGGGCAAGGGGCCGATCCGGTGATCAGCGATCGGATGGTGATGAGGGTCAACTCCTCTGGCCGAGGCATCAGGCCTGGGTGGGGGGCGGAGCCAGCAATCGAAGGGGACTAGGGGTCCCCTGATCAGGCCTGATGCCTGGGCCAGAGGCATCAGGCCTGGGTGGGGGGCAGAGCTGGGGATTGGGGGGAGAGGGAGGTCCCCTGCCCAGGCCTGAATCCTGGGCCAGAGGCATCAGGCCTGGTCCAGGGGCAGAGCCAGCAATCGGAGGGGTCTGGGGGTCCCCTGCCCAGGCCTGACGCCTGGGCCAGAGGCATCAGGCCTGGGCTGGGGGCATCAGGCCTGGGCGGGGGTCAGAGCCAGTGATGGGGGGAGATGGGGGTCCCCTGCCCAGGCATGACACCTCTGGCAGAGGCGTCAGGCCTGGGCAAGGGGCCAATCCTGCGATTGGAGGGTGATGGGGGTCAATGCCTGAGGGCTCCCAGTATGTGAGAGGGGGCAGGCTGGGCTGAGGGACACTCCCCCCCCCCCCCACACACACACCCAGTGCACGAATTTCGTGCACCGGGCCCCTAGTTTTTAATAAATAAATAAAATATTAAATAAGAAAAAATGGACATGCATCTAGGTATGCATTTTTCTCTCTGCTGAATCTATCCTGTGTAATGAATTTATTCTATTAATATGGTAGGTTATAGAATGAAGGGAGTGATGTTATCAGAGAGAGATAATGAATGATTTGACTGTCTTATTAGAAGAATATGTTAATTTTGGGGTCCACTGAAATAGACAACATGAAATATATTTTAAAAATGAGTCATTTGATATCTACCTTTGTGACCCCGTCTTCCATGATGATGAGCATTTTTCTCCAAATCGAAGCAAAGGAGCTCCAAATTTAATCAGAACACAAGTATTTGATCCCTTGGATATCTTAGCCCTGGTTGCTATCCTCAAATGTTTCACGGTGTCAATTTTCCTAAAATCTCAGGTACAATGTTGTATAGTTCGTTTCCTCAGCCAGCTTTAATTTTAGTCACTTGAGTTTTTTCAGTATTGATAATAATTGAAACCATACCCACACTGTCATATTCATATCACCATTAGCACAGGCCTCAATGCAATAAAAAATAAAAACTGACCTTAAGTATTGTATCATAGCGTTCTCTGATCACATTCTATACTGGGTTTCACTACAGGCAGAGTTGATCACCTCGACAGCATTTACATGTTGCCATGTGTATTTACACCCCAACAAGTCATTTCTGAAAGTCAGAGATTGCCGCCGTATAGAACTTTATATTATAGTCCTCTGGTCAGAAATATAATGTGAGTTCTAAACTAAGAGTCAAATGTTATACCTCCACTACCCAGACCATCTTCTGATACCTGGGACCAACTTTAAAGCATGCTCCAGGTACTCATCTTCCGTGATGGTGCGTCCATCTAACTTCAGCTCTAGCATGAAATCCCGCACAGCCCAAACAAAGTCTGGAAAGAAACTCACAAACTCGGCTGAGTCACCTACTTCACCAGAGCTGGGGGAGGATTTTGCTCTGATTAGCCTTGTTAGTTCAGTCACATAGCTGAGATCTTAGCTAAGGAATGAGAAATGTTTCCTGCCAAAATTTCCAGATCACACCCAGAAATAATTTTTATGAACAGTCCCATTCACCCAGTGCCATCTCTCTTCAACCACGATTATTGACATGAGGAAAAAAACAATGAAAACTATAACAAAATAGTCTCAGTTACATTCCCATAGACTCCATGTCACATGGTGGTTCATTTCCTGGAAGGATACTGCAGCTGCTCCAGGGCCTGGTGGTTGATGGTGTTCATGCTGTTGTAGACAAACATGCTGCTCAGAAGCACGGCCAGGGCAAAGATCCATGAGTCATTCTTTGAATCGCCCTAGAAAGTGCACAGAAGGGGACTTAGGTGTCAACAGTTCATTCTACTGTTCAGTTGGTCATACACTTTGTCAGCTCTACTAACAATGAACAGTGGGGCAAATAACATACACTGTGAAGATAGTAGTAAATTCAAACCTCATTTTGGTTATTCACATTGTCGCCTCTCATGGCTCGTGTTCTTTAGCAATTAAGAGAAGTGAATGACTATGTAAATGTGTGTCAAATATTTAAAAGAGTCCCAAGAACATAGAAGGATGCAGTGATAAGTGGGTAATGATTTTTTGCAACTTTCTCTTGACCATGAGCTTATTAGTGACACAAATGCTAGTCAATTACATTCACTAACTTCTCATTGTGCATTTAAGAAATGCCAGATACCACATTTAGTTTGGGGATATAAAGTTTCATAGGGAAATCTCTCACTTTCAAAGATGACTTGCTGGAGGCGCCAATATACATGGTAACATGTAAATGCATCCAAGGCGATCGGCTCTGCCAGGAGTGCAAGCCAATGTAATAACATAAAAGGCAAATGGGAATACAAAACCCAGAAAAATTACTTTGTGATTTCAGGGCAAGAAGGGATCATGTCTCAATGAGATACAATCCCATTACTTGAAAGTAGTAAGTCATTGCTTTAAAGAACAGACAGAATGTAGAATTCTGGAGAGAAAGGGACCAGGCTTGTGGAAGGATCTACAGAAGCCAATCAGAATTGTCAGAGAGTGTGTTAATACAAAGGTACTAAATGTTACTTTATTTTATTGAAGTAGTGGTTATGTGTGTGGTAGGAATAGATGATGAGGCTGAACATAACACACTCAGGGTAAATCATGAGTGACTATGCAATAGAATTGGGTACTGCTAAAGACACTAGAGTTGTAGGGACAGCAAGTATTTCTGCTGCTATTAGTTGACAGTTATGTTTTGGCTCCTTTACAAATGTAATCAGCTAAAAAGAAGGTTTAGTAAACTACAATCTGTTAGCCAGCAGTTCTCAACCTGTGGTTCGCGACCCCTTTGGGGGTTGAATGACCCTTTCACAGGGGTCGCCTAAGACCATCCTGCATATCAGATATTTACATTACAATTCATAACAGTAGCAACATTACAGTTATGAAGTAGCAACAAAAATAATTTTATGGTTGGGTCACAACATGAGGAACTGTACTTAAAGGGCCAGAAGGTTGAGAACCATTGCCAATGAGTAAAACATCTTGGGCTTATACAGAGATGCTTACTGAGTAATTTAAACCTGAATTATGCTTAGTGAAATAAGCCAGTCAGAGAAAGACAAGTATCCTATGATTTCACTCATATGTAAAATCTAATGAACATAATGAACCAACAAGCAACATAGAGGCAGACTCATAGATAGAGAGCAGGCTGAAACATATTGGATGTGTGTGAGGGGATGTTGGGTGGAGTTGGAGGTATTGAGAAAAAAGAAAAAAAAAGATTTCATGTACAGATCAACAGTGTGGTGACTACTAGGGAGGGGTGGGAGAAGTTGGGGGAGTGGATGGGGGGTTAAATGGTGATGGATAGAGACTTGACTTTGGTGGTAAATACAATATAGTGTACAGATACCATGCTGTAGAATTGTGCACTTGGAGCCTGTATAAATTTGTTAACCAGTGCCACTCCAATAAATTCAATTAAAAATTAATATTAAAATTCAGAATATCTAAATTCCTGCCCCTATACCTTTTGGGGTAATGGAAGCCAAAGATCCATCACTCCTACTTTCACTTCATTCTCTGGCTAATACAAATAAGGACACAAGATTGACTGTAACTAACACAGTGAAGACAAAATACCTAAAATTATCCCATTTATAATGCTTTTGGTGGGTCTAGCTCATGAATGGATAGCAGTCAGGGAGAAATTCATCTGTAAAGCCTAAAGACTTGGACTAAAACCTTAATTAACATGGATGGTGTAGTTGAAGTGTTTTTGGAGATTATTTAAATATGTTATTTTAATAAAACCCCATTTTTATGTTTCCTACCTTCAAGACCATCAACCTCAGGCACCTTAACTACTAGAGTGCATTGATCCCATAATTATAGCTTCCTCCAGGATCTTTTTCTTATACTGAAGACTGATTAAATATGCCACTCCTTGCTCTGGGCCTTTTCCTCAATCATGCATATCTGTAGTATTTAACACAAAACCTTATAATTTAGATGCTCACTAAGTATTTGTTATCTTGTAACTTTCAACCAAGAGTAGAAATAAGAATATATATATCTAATAATGAAAGTGTTGAGTTTCCAAGAAAGTAAATTCAAGGAAACAGAATTTAATCTCATTATTCTTAATTGGATTTGCAGTTTATAGAAATAGATCATAGAAGTTGAATTAAGGTGGCAAATTAAAATGTAAGTGGATTATCAAGAACAAAGAAGACTCTTTGCCTTACCTTTTCTACATCGCCCAGGCCCTCAGTGTCCAGAAGGACCAGAGTGTGGTTGGGATTAAAAGGGTGGGGTATACACCACATCCAGATGCCCTTGGTTTCAGACCGCACTGTGGAGCCCAGACGAAAGCCTGCAAAGGAAGAGGGGAAAGTGCTGTACAGTAAGAGCAGATAGTCCACGCTGCCCATAGGTTACAATGGTTAAAACTATCAGAATGTGAGTGCCTGGCTGGGAGGAAAGTTGCTTTTATTTCAGTAAGAACATCCTATCCACCCTTTATTCATATTAATGACCTTCTCAAGAAGCACTTTGTGTTTTCTATTCACTCCATACTATCAATGGCTCAAGCTATGTCACATTACACAATTAATGTAACCTCTATTGACCTTTATAGTCTTTTTTTGACACTGAAGAGCTCCCTTGTCCTTCAGATTCCAGTAGAGTTCTACCAGTGAGAGGCGCCAGCTTGAGTCTAGTGATCCACCCTGTCCCAGTGCAGCTGTTACTGTATATTAATAGTGGGTCACAGCCCTTTCTTTTTTTTTTTTTCCTAAGGGCAAATTTTCCTCAAACATCATTTTATTTTTTATTATTTCTTAAAGTATTACAAAGAGTATTACACATGTCTCCTTTTTTCTCCCCCTTGACATTCCCCCAGCTTCCCCCACCCCCCAGTGTCTTGTATCCATTAGTTAGTCTCATATGCATACATATAAGTCCTTCGGTTGATCTCCTACCCCCCACAAACCTTCCCAGGGTTCACACTGTAGTTTGACATTCTGCTCAATGCTGCTCTGACTCTGTATCCATTTTTGTTCATCAGTCTATAATGGTTCTTATTATCCATAAATGAGTGAGTTCATGTGGTATTTTTCTTAGCTTCCCAGGAGCCGTCTTAGTCTCACAGGGGCTGTCCCAGCCTCACAGGGGCCATCTCAGCCTCACAAGAGCTGCCTCAACCTCACAGGGGCTGTTTCAACCTCACCGGGGCCGTTTCAAACCCACTGGGGCTGTTGCAAGCTCACCGGGGCCGTCTCAACCTCACTGGGACCATCCCAGCCTCACCGGGGCAGTCTCAGCCTCACCGGGGCCGTCTCAACCTCACAGGGGCCATCTCAACCTAACAGGGGCCATCTCAACTTCACCGGGGCCTTCTCGACCTCACTGGAGCCGTCTCTACCTCACCAGTGCCATCTCAACCTCACCAGGGCCGTCTCAACCTCACCGGGGCCATCTCAACCTCACTGGGACCATCCCAGCCTCACCGGGGCAGTCTCAGCCTCACCGGGGCCGTCTCAACCTCACAGGGGCCATCTCAACCTCACCAGGGCCATCTCAACCTCACCGGGGCCATCCCAGCCTCACCGGCGCCTCAGCCTCACTGGGGCAGTCCCCGCCTCTCGGGGGCTGTCCCAGCCCCTCGGGGGCCTCCTCAGCCTCACAGAAGCAGCCTCGGCCTCACGGGGGCATTCTCAGCAACACGAAGTTTGGCATTCTGTCTTTTGTTGGTCTGCTCCTTGCTGGACAAAATCTCCAGGCGTTCCTGGTGGCTGAATATCTGGTATGCTTGCTTGGATTTCGTTTTCTACCAAGTGCACAAACTGCCTGTCTGGCGTCTCCCAGCGTCCCATGTGAGACTGGATCTGGTGACTCTGCCTGTGCGTTTGCTGGTACAGTGGTTCCACATCGCAGGCCCAGCCACGTCCGGCTCCGGCTTCCTCCAAACCTGATTCTGCTTCTTGAGTGCGTCCCTTATGTATGCGAGGAGTTGAAATATGCATTCTGCTGGGCTGGGCTGCAAAAGTGCCGGTGGTTCTCTTTGTGCCACTAGCACAGCTTGGGTGGGGATGTAAAATGAGTAGGGCGGGGTCCCCGGGAATCACCAGGGCAGAGCAAGGGCCAATGGTGTCTCCTCGACTCCTTGCCTCTCTTCGACTCCACATCTCGCATCCCGGAGTGCTGGCGAGCGGCTCCGCCAGACAGCCACTCTCGCTCTCCGGCCCCGTTGCAAGGCCGTCCGCCTCTCCCCGTAGGGGTCTGGGACCTCAGGATCCCACCCCAAACAGGCTCAGTTGATTTGAGAGTCTGCATCCCCTTCTGATTGAAAAAAACCGCGCATCCAGTTGCAGCCAGCCTCCAGCCCTTTCATTTCACTCCATCCAAAAGTGCTGGTCTTTGCCACATTCTGATTTTTCTTTTTGCTTGGCTGTTCAGACTATAGGAGTGACTATAGTTCCCTGGCCATTATTATTGCCACCCTCTCGGTACTTCCTCATTTCCTATTAATTCCCTGTGACCTGAATATGTCCTTGTATGTGTCCCTCTAATAAACACTCGTTAGTTAGCCTTTGAGAGGCTCTTGTGTGTCCTTCCAGGAACTGGACTGATAATCAGCTTTGTTCGATTTTTTCTTCCTTTTTCTTCCTGAATTTTTCTCATTTCTTCTCTCTTCTGCAATGAACTGATGAGGTGCTTGTTTTTCCCCTGGCCTCAGGTAGGGATATAATGGAAGTGAAGGCAGAAAACACCTGTGAATTGTGGTTGCTCCTCTTTCAAAAGTCTTAAAACTACAGGTGGGAAGCATGTGACGGATATACCCAAGAACCTGTGTGATACATCTTTTCCAACAGTTTAACATTTTTAAAAAAAAATATTCTTAATTGATTTCAGAGAAGAAGGGAGAGGGAAAGAGAGAGAAAAACATCAACTATGAAGGAGAATCATTGGTTGGCTGCCTCCTGCATGTACCCCACTGGGCTTGAACCTGCAACACAGGCATGTGCCCTAACCAGGAATCAAACCCATGACCTCCTGGTTCACAGATTGATGCTCAACCACCTAGCCACACTGGTCGGGCCACTTTAACATTTTTGACATCCACCATAGGCCAATGTTTCTTCTAATGGGGACTAGAAATAATGGAATGTATAGGAGAGGTTAGTTCATCTTGGCTCAAGCCACTCAATTTTGAGGCTTGGGACTTTTTCAGCAATCCATGAAGTCTCTACAGAGAGGGTATAAAGCCTGAAATAGTCTGCATTCTTTTACATCCTGATAGCATTTGATTGTTTGCTAATTAATACAGAGAAATCTGAACTCCCAGTGCCCCCAGGGAGAAATGGTAGGTGTAATTGGAGATCATCATTCTCAGTTATGAGTTAAAAACCCTCAAAGAAAGTTATCAACAAGGGGAAGTGTAGCGACCTGGTATTCCTCCTGGACCTTGATTGGGCATGAATCTTTTTTTGTCGTGTTTTTTTTTTCTGTTGGGTGGTAGAATCACAATTCAGGTATTGTGGTTTATTAGATTACAGTTCACTTTCAACGTTATTTTGTATTAGTTTTAGTTGTACAGCATAGTGGTTAGGCAATCACATACTTTGCAAAGTGTTCCTTACTAATATTTCAAAGACCCAGCTGGCATAGTACATAGTTCTTACAATATTATTGACTATACCTTGGTGTGTTAAAATATATCAAGGCGTGGGACTTTCTCAGCAATGAAACATAACCTCGTTACCACCTGATGTTACCCTGTGTAGAATTTAACTGATATCTCTCCCTTAGGGTTCTCAAAAAAGAGCTTTTAATTAATTTAAGACAGACAAGGAAAAGTGTTCTCCTTGGATAGGTGGTCTAGAATTTCTCTACAGGAAAGACAAAGAAAAAAATGTTTTGTTGGAAGCAAATGGGAAAGATTGTGAAGCAAAAAGGAGAAATGGAGAAAGGGAGGAAAGGGAGAGAAGGAGAGAGACAGAAAGGATACAAAATGAGAGGACAATGAGGATGTTGCTATTTATCAGTGCAGTTCAGGGCATTGAGGTTTAACCCCTAATGGTGCTGAGCTGATGAGACACAGAGGAAGACATTTAAAATAAAAACAGTGTGTGGTCTTCATAGAGAGAAATGAGTTAAATGACAGAGGCAGATTGCTCTAAAAATCAGTAAGAACAAAACAAGGCAACCCAATAGAAAGGAAAAATGACCTCAGGAAATAGGACATGCAAAGCAAAAATTAATAAGTGCAAAGATGCTCAAACTTATTTGTAATGAGGCAACTATATGCACCTATGTCCTATACAGTCATCACATCATCAAATTTTAAAAGTCTTTTACCAAAGCTTTATGAGGATGTGGAGAATTCTCAATTACTGTTAATAAATGTATACATTGCATATAAAGCTTGAAAAGCTTTTTGAGAGAATCTAGAAAGGCTGATAACATATATACTCCAGGACACAGCAATTTTATTTCTGAGTCTATCATACAAGGAAGTTTGTGTACATGTGCACCAGGATATACAAACAAGAAGATTCATGTCAGCATCCTCCATAAAAGTAAAACAAAAACAAAAAAACAACTAGAAATAAACCAATGTTCATCAACAACAAATGTATAAATGTATTATGGTATAGTCTTACAATAGCATACTATAAAATAGTGTAAATAAATGAATACAGATACATAGGACAATCTAAGTAAAATGTAAACTTATTGTTGAGCAAAAGAACCAATACTCCAAAGAATACCTGAATGGACTCCTCTTTATATAATATTTAAGCTATTCTTACAAATGCATACACAGCTTGTAAAACCACTTTTAAAAGGAAGAGTGAAAGCATGCTCCATGAAAATCAAAACATTGGTGAGCTCTAGTGAGGTGTCAGAGGGTACAGATAGGGTGTGTGGGTGCTGGTGACTTTTTGTTTCCTGATATGGACAGTGATTACCCTGAGGATCTCTTTATGTTTATTAACTTTGTATATGTGTATGTTTTGTGCACTCTTCTGTGTTATAGCTCACATATTGAAAAAACTAGATAAAGAAAAAAGGGTATAATTTAGCAAAGTTTTACTCAGAAATTAAGCAAGAATTGGACTGTAGACCCATTGAGCTATAGGATATATATAATATAGTATTGTCCATTTTTCCTTTTATCCCTTTTTGAAAACAGGACATGTTGAACATTATTCGTGTCCTAGTTGAAATGGCCCTGAAATTTAAGGCAAAAGTGATGGGAGAGAAAGGAAGGGCATAATTGCTGGAGCCAAGCTCCTCAGCAGAAAAAGTGGATGGGATCAAGAATAATGGGTGGATCTTTGGGTTGAGTGGGGAACCCCCTCTTACTTGCTCAAAGAGACAGATTTTGTGGAACAATGGGGTTTCAGATATCTATTTGGTGGTGACAGTTAAAACTTTTCTTCATTGGAAGAAATTGGGCTCTTTTTAAGATGACCCTGAAGGAGGCATGATCAGCCTATGTTACCACTGTCTCCAAGCAAATGGTCACTGCCCCAGAACAACACTCACCATGGTTCTTTCTTGCCAGGCGGTTAATCAGGTAGGATTTTCCTGTCCGATACACACCTGTGATGGCCACCACCACCACAGGCTGAGAGATCTTGTCTAGAATCTCCAGTGCTGTTGGATTTACTGTCAGCTGATTATTCTGATTTTCCACCAGGCAGATGGGGTCCTTCATGTTGTATCCACAGGCCATGGTGAGCTGTGTAACCCAGAGCAACTCATCACAACACAAGATCCCAAAGTCATATCTAATAGTTACACAAGTCACATGCATGTCAGCTTTCTGTGTGTAGAACTTAAAAACCAGTTTCCTACATTTTGTGTGTTTCTAAAACATAAGTATTTAACCTAATGTGTCAAGGCCGGGCACAGATTCCTTATGTACATTATCATATTGATCTTTAAATAAACCCTAATACACCCTTGCCCATATAATGCATAAAAGGACTAGAATGAGCGAAACAAAACACTGATGATGGAGCCTTGAGAACATTAACATATTGGGGGTAAGTAGAGGCAGAATGGGACATGCAGGAGTGACCAGAGATAAATGTGGGCTTCCAGAATGATTTGGTTTCTCACTGACTACATACATTCTCTGAGCACCTACCATGTGCTGGACACTGGTCTATGTGCTCAGTATCAAGCGGCGAACAAAATGGTTACCAATTCCTGCCTCGTGGAGCTCTATTCTAGTGGGAGGAGACAGACAATACAGAAAGCAAATAAGCAGCATGCATAGTATATGTATATTAGATGATGGGAAGTGCTCAGGAGAAAACAAGCAGGACCTGAGATAGGGAGCATGGGGGCTGAATTTACATAGAAGATGTTCAGAATAGGCCTCTCAGAAAAAGTGAAATAAGTGTGATCTGTGACCTTAAGGAGGACAAATGTAATGAATCCTGGGAGCTGTAGCAGTTGGAGGAGGGGAGACTTTGAGAGGAAGAAGACAAAGAATGCGGCTCGCTCTCAAAACACCACAATTCAGACCTTTATAGGACCCAGGTACAGTTATGAATTCAGAAATTCATTTTTTAAACTTGAATAAAGGACATTTTTTTTTTTTTTTTTTTTGTTTCTGGGCTGACAGGGAAAAGAGGCTGTAGCCAGGGAAATTTCTGGTGTGCCCAGAGCTGCCAGAGTCCCACAGCTGGGAGAGGTCCTACTTTAGTGTACTCATCACAGTGGGCCTTTCATGCAATCAAGGGACAGAAAGCGGTCAAAGTGCTTTGACTGTCCCTTCACTTTCTCAAAGACAATCCTAAACAACATTCATGTGCTCCATGCTCTCCTAGCTGTTTGCTTTGGGAAGAGTAATTTCTCTGTGTCTCAGTTTTTTCTCCCATAAAATGGCTACACCAAAAATGACACTCTATAAGTGATTAAGGTCATTAGGAAGGTCATCTGATGAAATTTATAATGCTCTTAAAATCATGTGGTGCATACTGAATCTTATGTTAGTATTGATTAAAAATTGAGTGTCTAAGAGGGCAGGGAGTTTAGGTTCTAAATAAGGGTGAAGATTTAGCTTTGGACTGAACAGGGACATCTCTTTCTCTAGTTGTGAGCACGTGGAATCCACATCCCATGGCTAGGACTCAGGCAGGACAGGAGCAGCAGTACCAGCTGAAAGGAGGACAGTGAAGGGGGTGAGTCCTGTGGGAGGAACCCAGAGCAGTTCTGGGATATCTGAGCACATATTCTGGAGTGGCTACCAGGGTTCAAATCACCTCCTGTCAATGAGACCTTGAAAAAAAAACTTACCTCTGTGAGCCTGCATTTTCTTATCAGTGTGATAAATAAAGCAAGAATTCCTGCTTGACTCATTACTGTATGGTCTGATAACCCATGGACTCTCAATAATTAATGATTAATGTAGTGTTTAAGAGCAAGTTAGGCAGTGTGCTGAAATGTGTTTATATGTTCAGTAACTTGCAAATTGCCAACAAATAATTAGGTGTCTAAAATCTCTTTCTCAGAAAATAACCTTTTTTCTTTTTTTACCACACTTTCTCTGTACCATTTCTCTTTTTTCTTTTTTTTTCTAAATTGTGATTGGGAGCAGAGTTAGGGAGTAAATATTAGTCTTCTACTGCTATGTTACAAGCAGGAGAAATTGCAGAGTTTATTTCTTGGACTAAATATTTAAAATTTTGATAGGAATAGATGAGTTAACAAACAATTTTTAAAAAATGTATGTAAACTGAAATACCCAATCCAAAAACTGTTAAGTAAAAATGAACAAGTAACCCTAGCTGGTTTGGCTCAGTGGATAAAGCGTCAGGCTGCAGACTGAAGGGTTCTGGGTTTGATTCTGGGCAAGGGCATAAGTCCGGATTGCAGGCTGGATCTCCAGTAGGGGGAGTGCAGGAGGCAGCCAATCAATGATTCTCTCTATCATTGATGTTTCTATCTTTCTGTCCCTCTCCCTTCCTCTCTGCGATCAATAAAAATATATTTAAATAAATATAAGCAAGTAAAATGAAATAGTTTTGCATGGAGTTAGATGGTTTCCAAAGTTTACTCCTCAGGAGAGTCAGTCATCTGAAGTGATGGTGAAAACTACCCCAAGCCTTGACTTCTCAGCAAGTATGACAGGATATTCTGAGATGGTCCTTGTATAGACTATTTGCTACAAACAATGCCCTTTAGATCTTATAGCTATTTCTAACAGTTGTTCAGTGAGCATGAAATTGAATTATTCTATATCATACAGCATTGTACTATCATTATTTTTTTTGAATGAACAAGTCAACATTTTTTATTAAATTTACCAAGTTGTACAACCATCACATAATCCAGTTTTAAAACATTTCATCACACCAGTATAATACCCATTTACAGTTAATTCTCATTACCACCTCCACAAATGGCTTTTTAAAATATTTAATAAATTTTTTTTTAGTAAATCTTTATTGTTCAGATTATTACATTTGTTCCTCTTTTTTCCCCCCATAGCTCCCCTCCACCCAGTTCCCACCCCGCCCTCTGCCCTTACCCCCCCCCACTGTCCTCATCAATAGGTGCACAATTTTTGTCCAGTCTCTTCCCGCATCTCCCACACCCTTTTCCCCCCAAGAATAGTCAGTCCATTCCCTTTCTATGTCCCTGATTCTATTATAATCACCAGTTCATTCTGTTCATCAGATTATTTATTCACTTGATTCTTAGATTCACTTGTTGATAGATGCATATTTGTTGTTCATAATTTGTATCTTTACCTTTTTCTTCTTCTTCCTCTTCTTAAAGGATACCTTTCAGCATTTGATATAATCCTGGTTTGGTGATGATGAACTCCTTTAGCTTTTCCTTATCTGTGAAGCTCTTTATCTGACCTTCAATTCTGAATGATAGCTTTGCTGGATAAAGTAATCTTGGTTGTAGGTTCTTGGCATTCATCACTTTGAATATTTCTTGCCACTGCCTTCTGGCCTGCAAAGTTTCTGTTGAGAAATCAGCTGACAGTCGTATGGGTATTCCCTTGTAGGTAACTGAGTTTCTTTCTCTTGCTGCTTTTAAGATTCTCTCTTTGTCTTTTGCTCTTGGCATTTTAATTATGATGTGTCTTGGTGTGGTCCTTTTGGATTCCTTCTGTTTGGGGTTCTCTGAACTTCCTGGACTTGTAAGTCTATTTCTTTCACCAGGTAGGGGAAGTTTTCTGTCATTATTTCTTCAAATAAGTTTTCAATATCTTGTTCTCTCTCATCTTCTGGCACCCCTATAATTCTGATGTTGATACTCTTGAAGCTGTCCCAGAGGCTCCTTACACTATCTTCGTATTTTCGAATTCTTTTTTCATTTTGCTTTTCTGGTTGGGTGTTTTTTGCTTCTTCACATTTCAAATCTTTGTCATGACTCTTCCGCTCCTCTGGTCTGCTGTTGGGAGTCTGTACAACATTCGTTATTTCAGTCCGTGTATGCTCAATTTCTAGTTGGTTCTTTATCACAACATCGAGGGTCTCATTAGATTTGTCGAGGATCTCAATAACTTTATCAGCGGCTTCTAGACAGTTCTTGAGAGACCTTAACTGTGTGGTTCTGAACTCAATATCCTCCATTGACAGTTTTGTCCTGTTTCTTTGTCTCTGCATTTTTTATGCTTTCTTGGTGCACCCCCTAGTGGTCTTTGTGCGCAGCCTTGTTGTAGTTAAGCCTTGATTGTTGTAGTTAATACTAGGGGGATTTGACCTCCAGACCAACTGGCTGTGAGAGTCAGCTGTGTCTGCAGTGGGAAAACTTCTGTCCTCTAGGGAGGTGCTAATCTAGCCTTTCCTGAGGCTATCCGGCAAATGGCTCTGCACAGGGCTTGGGCGGGGCGGGTAGCGCGGGATCAACAGGGCGGGTGGAGGGAGCAGTTATGGCTGCTCTCAGTCTTGTCCCCAGAGGCTCTGCCTCTCAGAGTCCCAGCAACCGCTGCAAACCTCAGAGAGAAAGCTGCCCTCGCGTTCCGACCAATTCCAGACAGTCCCACTTCTCCCGTTTGAGTCTGGGTCCCTAGAGACTTGCCCAGAACTGGAGGTCAGGGCCTGAGCCTCCCTCCCGATTGAAAACGACAACCGTGCCCTCAGCTACCAGCCCGCTCCACGCGTACCTCCGCACCTTTGTATTTTCCACACTGCGCCTCCTCTGAGTCTCGTATGCTGTTCTCTTTCCTTCTAGTTGAAGAATTTCCCCTCAGCCAGCCTTCCTGTGGTTCTGGGCAATGTCCATTCCATCTTTTAGTTGTATTTTTGAAGTGGTTGTTCGAGGCAGATAACTCCGGTGTTTACCTATGCCGCCATCTTGGTTTTCTCCCCGGGAATTGTTAAAAATGCAGCATTTCAGACTCTGCCTCAGATTGACTGAGAACCTGCATTTTAACAAGATATCACTGGCCCATTCACTATCATTGATTATTAAATATTGTTAATTCAAAAAGAATCAGAGTCAATCTTTCAGGATTAAAATTCTCTATAAATTAAGGATCACCTTTTCTCTCATTTTTTCCAATGCATAAAGGTGGGCAGGGGGAGGGGGAAGATGGTGGTTGTGGTGCAGGGACACTCTGAGGAGGGACAGGGAGATGGAGGGGGAGAGACCCCACCTGCAGTCTCTGCAAGAGGGTTTGGTTTACTCCATCCATCCTAGGAAGGGTTTAGCCCCTTTTGGCATTTGAGGGAGAATGTGTTCCTCCTCCCCCCCATGGAGGGC